AATAGAATCTAGATCTAAATTCATACTAAATTCTCACTCAATATTTAGTGTTAAACAATCAATAAGAAAGCCATCATCCATTTTGTTATGAATTTTCGTTTTCACATGTTTCATTGCTGAAAATGCTCGCTCCACAGTCGCCGTTGAAACAGGTAGTGTGAGTACTAAACAAATGAATTTAGTCAAAACGACATAACTCTCCAACCTTCTACTTGCAACCAATTCTCAACATAAATCAGAAAGTGTAGGTACTTGAAATCGAGGTTCAGAAATCACATCATTTTGATAGTGTTGCAACTCAACTTTCAAACAATAAATATCTTGCTGTTTAAAATCTTCAGGATAAAACTTCTCTGCAAGCTTGCAAATATTATCCATATTAAATGATTCAAAAGAATTTTTTGGATCCAAAGCTGTACTGAGAGAAAGGAGCTCTATTGATGTCTCATTAAATCTTGTATCTAACTCCATCATCTGAAAGTCAATAGCTGCATTGAAAATATCAAAGTGGTAATGATGTTCAATGGTAGGATACTCACGACCACGAGAACGACCAACCATATATGAACCATCAAAGTCAGGTACATGTATATCATTTTTTGAGCAAAAACACTTCACCTCTTCAAGAAATTCTTCCCAGCCATCTTCTCTCAATGCTTGAAGGATAGTTTTTGTAGTACGGACAAATCTCATAGCAGTTAAGATGTCTTGAGTTTTCTTTTGGAGGGACTGACAAAGAACATCCGCAATTGCTAATATTCTACACATTAAATGCAAGATAAATACAAATTCAAATGTTGTTATGGTTTTGTATACACCACCAACCTCGGATCGAGATCTTGTGCTTGGAGAATGATCACTTAGATACTCAAGCACCTTGCAAGTTGCAGCATACATATCAATCAAACTCTTTATAGAGCTGTAATGAGAAGACCAACGAGTACTTCCGGCTCGTTGCAAATTACCAATCTAATTAGCACCAATTTCGGACTCTCGTTCTCCAATTTCTAACAAATGCTCAATTTCTTTTCTTTGGGCACTTTTCAACTCATTGATGCGCTTAGGAGATGATGTAATCATATTAATAACATAGTCCAAATGAGAAAAAAATGAATTAATATCTGAGACATCCTTAGCTGCAGAAACCAATGTGAGTTGTAAACGATAGGCAAAACAATGAACATAGTATGCATATGGACAATCTTTAAGAAATAATGCATGTAGTCCATTCCAAGAACCACGCATATTATTAGCACCATCATAGCCTTGGCCTCTCATGTTTTGCACTTGAAGGTTGAAACGAACGAGAACATCAGAAATCTGATTTTTAAGATTTAATGAGGTAGTGTCACTAACACTTTTAATTGCAAAAAATCGTTCTGTCAAAATTCCATTACTGTTCACAAACCTCAAGATAATAGCCATTTGTTCTCGTGAAGATTCATCTCGTGCTTCATCAACAAGAATACTAAACTTTGCATTCCCAATTTCCGTACGAATTCCTTGTCGTACTCTATTTGCCATAATGCTCAAAATTTCTTTTTGAATGTCTGGAGACGTATATGTAGCATTTTTGAGAGCATTACTCAACACAACTTTTCCTACTTCAATATTCATTTTTGCAAATGCATCCACCAATTCAATAAAATTCCCACGATTCAGTGAAGATGGAGATTCGTCATGGCCTCTAAAAGAACAACCTTGAAGAGCTAACCACTTAACACTCATAATAGTGGTCTTTAGACGCAAACGATTTTTCTGTTTTTCCTCATTTGATACAGAATGCATTACCTTGTCAATACGTTGAGTTGGTTTCATTAGATCTTCAGCTCTTCTCTTACAGCCATTATGAAACAATGACGATGTTGTACCAACATGAATAAGAAATGCACATTTACTTCCTTGGTTAACCCTCTTCCAACTATCAAATCAAACAGTAACCAATGATGAAATATTAGGTGGAGTACTATCATTGAGAAAAAGGAAGCAGTAAAAACAATATGCCTTATGTGTTG